TTGTTGTTGCTTGTTTGTTTTTTTGAGATGGAGTTTTGCTCTTGTGGCCCAGGCTGGAGTACAATGGGTGCGATCTTGGCCACCACAAACCTCACCGCTCCCAGGTTCAAGCAATTCTCTTGCCTCAGCCTCCCGAGCAGCCCTGGGAATTACAGAAGCGCACCACCATGCCCGGCTATTTTTTTTATTTTTAGTAAAGACAAGGTTTCTCTGTGTTGGTCAGGCTGGTCTCAAACTCCCGACCTCAGGTGATCCATTTGCCTCAGCCTCCCAAAGTGCTGGGATTACAGGCATAAGCCACCACACCCGGCCTCACAAGGAGTTTTAACCACAGGAATAAAACTAATGTAACCAAGAGACATCTTTGGAAGAGAGGCAATCAAGGGGGGTTGCTCTGAAATCCTCCTACTGAGGTAAAGAATATGTTTCAGCCCACAAGAGAACACTTTATCAGAGTAAGATGTGGAACTGACTTTTGTTGTAAGTGTCGTGTGGTGGTGAGACTCATCAGGTCACCGAGGCGGGGGGTGACCGAAAGGCCCTGTGGTGGCACAGAAGCAGCAGGTTCAGGGTGCTGCGGACAGGAGAGGCGGAGATGGGCCCGAGTCCCAGCTGTCTGCCCCTTCCAGGCCCCAGCTTCGCCATCTGTACACCTTGGAAGTAGGGCTAGAGAGATGACCTCTGAGGTCCTCTCCACTGTGGGGGACCTTGTAGAATGTGCATAATGTGTGGCCAGTCTTTGAGCTTCGATCCTCTGGGACAGGCTTTCAGCCTGGGCCTACGAACTAGAACTAAAGATCTCTTTAAAATGGATGCAAATTTGTGTGGGTTTAGGCTGCATTTCTATAAATTCGTCATCCCCTAAAAGGTTAAAAGACAGGTGTTGTTTACACGGTGGTGGAGCTGCTGAGAAAGGGAGCCTCAAAGACCAGGGAAAGCGGCCCTGTTGCAGACTTGCTCAAAGGGCCTCAGTAATTGTCCCCCACTGCAGCGACCCCAGCTGGCAAGCTTCCACTCATTACATAACTGTTCTTCTGAAAACCAGGCAACAAAACCTCCAGGAAAAAAAAGCTATTGATTATTAAAGGGTATTTAGAGGTTTAGAGACTCATAAGAAAGCAGTTATAATTATTCCTGTAATGACACATCCTTTGAAATGCTCAGATCTGAGAACATTTTGCTTGCATTGCATCAGTCATCATCATTACAGGGAGAAACGCAGAGAGCTGGAAATAGCTCGTGTGCAAGCTACAGGCAAGGAGTCACAAGGAAAGGAGCAAATTGACAGCAAGTCAGTGAAGGAAACGGGGGAGCTTCAAATACCCAGAACCTGCACACAGTTCTGCAGCCTCTGTCTCCCCGCAGCCTCCGTCTCCCCTCAGCCTCCGTCTCCCCTCAGCCTCCGTCTCCCCTCAGCCTCCGTCTCCCCTCAGCCTCCGTCTCCCCGCCCTCCGTCTCCCCGCCCTCTGTCTCCCTGCCCTTCTGCCCCGCTTCAAAGCCAGCTTCTGCTGCCAAAGGACTCTTGGGGTTGAAATGCCTGTTGCACAGTTACACATCAGCCGACAGTCCTTCTCTGATTTAATGAACTTCATCTATGAAAAATACCCTCAACAGGCCAGGTGCAGTGGCTCAGGCCTGTAATCCCAGCACTTTGGGAGGCCGAGGCGGGTGGATCACCTGAGGTCAGGAGTTTGAGACCAGCCTGGCCAACATGGCAAAACCCCATCTCTACTAAAAATACAAAAATTAGCCAGGAGTTGTGGCAGGCACCTGTAATCTCAGCTACTCGGGAGGTTGAGGCAGGAGAATCACTTGAACCGGGAGGGAGAGGTTGCAGTGAGCCGAGGTCGCATCAGTACATTCCAGCCTGGGTGACAGAGTGAGACTCCATCTCAAAACAAAACAAAACAAAACAAAAACCCTCAACAGAATGTCAAAAAAAAAAGAAAGAAAAGAAAAAAAAGAAACAGAAACCTGCGAAACCATCATCTTTCTGCTTTTGATAATAACAGTAAGGAGCATTGACTGAGCATTTACTCTGTGTCAGACACTCCCCTAAGTACTCTCTCGATATTATCTCATGTAATTCTCACAAAAATTCATGAGCTAGGAATGAGTATTATTCCCACTTACTAGACAAGGAAGCTAAGGCATAAATTGGACACAGTTATACATAGCATGGCCAGAATCAGGATCTGAACCTGGCTGGGTGACCCTGGGGTCCCCAGCAGGCCGCTCCCTGCTAAGGTTTCCAAGCGCACTCTTGGGCTGGTAGAGCAGCCAGCAAGATGAGGGCAGGGGGAGGGGTGGTGTCACAGAGGCATCTCTCCGAAGAATCTCGGAAGACACTAAGTGTTGGGCAAGGTTTGGTTTGGTTTTGTGTCTTTCATGGTTTGCCTGGAGGCTTTAATTTCCCACTTTACACAGCCCCCTCCATGTCCCCCACTTTACACAGCCCCCCTCCATGTCCCCCACTTTACACAGCCCCCTTCATGTCCCCCACTTTACATAACCCCCCTCCATGCCCCCACTTTACACAGCCCCCTCCGCGTTGTTTCTGTTCATTTGACAAGTATCTACTGAGCCGACACTCTGAGGTCCATGGGTGATTCTGAGGAGAACCAGACACGGTGCCTATCCTGGGAGATGCATAATCAGGTGGGAGTGGGGTGCAAAATCAATCCAACAAACTGGAATAGCAGGCGAAGAGTGCCCTGGTGGAGGTGCAGAGGCTCCGAGGAAAGCCTCACAGCAATACGGACAGGCAGGTGTCCCCTGCAGGATGCGGGTTCACATGGGCTGGGGAGAGAAAAGGAGAGACCGCCCACAGAGGGGCCCGTGGGCACAGGACTCTTGCTTCATGATTGTGTGGACTTAGGAGGCTCAGAATGACAACCCCAGCTGCTGTGTGTTCCTCTAACTCCAGGTCCCTTCTCCAGCCACCCAGCCCCAAGATGGTGATGCTGCTGCTGCTGCTTTCTGCACTGGCTGGCCTTTTCGGTGCAGCAGAGGGACAAGCATTTCATCTTGGGAAGTGCCCCTCGCCTCCGGTGCAGGAGAATTTTGACCCGAATAAGGTAAAAGGCGAACCTCCCATTTGTTTTGCTGCCTGTGATGTGAACAAGCATTCTATAAGATTCAATTTAATTATGCTGCTTTAATTTCCACTGCACACCTTGGGACACGTATTTATCTTATTTGGGGTTTCCCCAAAGCGGACAATCTGCTGAGACAAAGACTGGGGGCAGAGAGGTTCGGGGTGATCCCAGGACGCACGAGAGCAGGTAGGAAAGTGAGTCGGAGTCAGCACAGAAGCAATAAAGGGAGTGTTCATGAGCTGTCGCCCTGGGCCGTCAGGGTCAGTCACACAGGGCACCCTCTGAGGACAGGTGGAGCATGCTCCTCCGATTGTCCATCAGCTGCTGCCCGCAGGCCATGGGAGCGTCTGTGGCGCTAGCCAAGCCCCCTGGCAGAGGACAGACACAGCGCCTCATCCCCATCACCTCCCCAAAGCCTTGGTGACCAACTCCCTATTCAGGGTGGATGAGGAAAGTTCCATGCACTCTGGAGTCCCAGCTCCCCACAGCAAACACATCTGACTTTGCACAAGATTTGAAGATGACTTGTAGAATCATGCACTGTTTCAGAAGAAAGTTACTTCCCATCATCCCCCTTTATTTTTTTCTTTTTCTTTTTCTGTTTTTTTCTGAGACGGAGTCTTGCTCTCTTGCCCAGGCTGGAGTGCAGTGGGGTGATCTTGGCTCACTGGGACTACAGGCGCCCGCCACCACGCCTGGCTAAATTTTTGTGTTTTTAGTAGAGACAGGGTTTCACTAAGTTAGCCAGGATGGTCTCCATCTCCTGACCTCGTGATCCACCCGCCTCAACCTCCCAAAGTGCTGGGATTACAGGTGTGAGCCACCACGCCCGGCCAATTTTTTGTATTTTTAGTACAGACGGAGTTTCACCATGTTGGCCAGGATGGTCTCGATCTCCCGACCTTGTGATCCTTCTGTCTTGGCCTCCCAAAGTGCTGGGATTACAGGTGTGAGCCACCGCACCCAGCCCCATTATACCCCCCCCTTTTTTTTTTTACAGAATCTAGAATGTCACAGCAATATTGGCTGAAGGGGACACTGAGAAGAGCCCTTTGCTCAGCATTCACCCACCGCCCGCACATCCCATCCTAGTCACGGATTCTCATTTCAATTAATCTCTTGCCCAGTTGCCCCTGGGAACAATGAGGCCCATTTTTGTCTGGCTTCCCCAGGACAGGGCTCAACTTCTGCACAACAGTGCGGAAAAGGTTGCAGGTCCCCAGAGAACCACAGGTTTTGCTCTGCTTGTTGTCTCTGCAGTATTTCGGAAGATGGTACGAAATTGAGAAGATCCCAACAACCTTTGAGAACGGACGCTGCATCCAGGCCAACTACTCACTAAAGGAAAATGGAAAGATCAAAGTGTTAAACCAGGAGTTGAGGTGAGTGGCTGTGGCCATCCGGGGCCAGGCCTGTGGAGTGCAGACCCGGAGTGACCAGGTGTCCAGCAGCCTGAGTCAGGGAGGATGGGATCCTTGCCAGGTCTGGACTGCCTGCTCCTAGCAGGAATTGAGAGGAAAGCATTTGTCAGGCAAGGATGGCAAGGACTAGGATCCACTTATGCGTTTCCATGACCACCTGCTGGGCACAAACTGACAGGGTTCCTGCCCTCACTGCAAAATAGATACTCTGGTAGCAAAGAACATCGAGACCATCTCCTCTGACCTCTAGTCCAGGAGAGAAGCCGCTTGACACCATCTGCTGACAGAAGCATCCAGCTTTGTTCAAACACTTCCAGGAACTGGGAGCTCATCGCCTTCCAGGACAGTTCATCCCATCTCTGGGCAGCTTAATGTATCAGAAAGCTCCTTTTCTTATTAAGCAAGAATCGCATACACAATATATACACATCCTATGTAAGCAGGATATCCTTTAGAAATGTACAATTCTATTACCGAGGGCTTCTGACACAATATTTAATCCAGAAAGTTACACTTTGGAAAGCAAATATAAACTTAAGAAGAGCCCCAGGAAGAACTCCTTCCTATCCCCCTTCCACTCTTGAAAATACGAATGCAGTTTTTCATGAACATGTTGTGAGTTCATGGTCAGAGACTGGTGTCCCGAAAACCGTTCTGGAGCAAAATGCAATTGATGGTGAAAAGGGCAGAATCTGTTGGGAGGAGACTGGTTTGTTGCTAAGTCCATGTGTGCAGATAGGAACAGACCATCTTCTCCCGCTGTCTGAGATCCAGATGAGAGAGGAGGGCATGGTCTCCAGCTTTACATGGTGATAAACAGAGAATGTAGTAGGGAACATCAGAGCACATTTCCCAAAACCCCTGGCCTGTTGCTCATTGTCTGGTTTCTAGGACATCTGTCACCACTAACCATAGCACTAACCCACTGTCTTTTTTTTTTTTTTCTTGAGACGAAGTCTCACTCTGTTGCCCAGGCTGGAGTGCAGTGGTACGATCTCGGCTCACTGCAACCTTCGCCTCCCAGGTTCAAGCAATTCTCCTGTCTCAGCCTCCCGAGTAGCTGGGACTACAGGTGCCCGCCACCACTGCACCTGGCTAATTTCTTGTAGTTTAGTAGAGACGGGGTTTCACCACGTTGACCAGGCTGATCTCCATCTCCTGACCTCGTGATCTGTCCCCCTTGGCCTCCCAAAGTGCTGGGATTACAGGCATGAGCCACCGCACCCGGCCAACCTACTGAGTTTCTAACACATATGACTGCTCTAATTTCAGTTGGCCTCCCTGCTCTGCCTTGAGGATTGATGAACAGACATCATCTCCTCTGTTGGCTCCCTAGGAAGACCACCCTGATGCCTTTCCACCCTCACCAGGCCTGGTGGTGCACACCTGTAATCCCATTTCCCGGCGAGGTTGAGGGAGGAGAAATGCTTGAACCCAGGAGGCAGAGGTTGCAGTGAACTGAGACCACACCACTGCACTCCAGCCTGGGGAACAGAGCAAGACTCCGTCTCCAAAAAAAAAAAAAAAAAAGTGAATCTTCTTTGTGTGTTGCGTTGTTTCGTTTGTTTTTCCATTCTCTTTTATTCCCTCTCTTTGGAGCCTGGGAGCAGGAATTGGTCTTTCAGGCCATAGCAGATAGTCAGAGACAGTGTTGAAGTGCAAGGGCCTACCATACTGTCCCGTCCTGGAGCTTGTCAGTTGCGGCTTCTTATCACCCCGCTGTCCTCTTCCCCTGCTTGGCCTCAGAGACAGTCACAAAGGAAAGAGCAGGCCGTGGAGCTAGGGTCTAGCCTGCCTTTGAGAGCCTCTCTTACCAGAAATCACGGTGTTGGCTGCCATGGTCCTTAGTGGCACAAATCTTGCCTTTCATTGCTTTTTGGCTTTCAATGAGTTGTTTTTCTTTTCTCTTTTCTTTTTTGTTTTTTGTATTTTATCTTTTTTTTACTCATTGCAGAGCTGATGGAACTGTGAATCAAATTGAAGGTGAAGCCTCCCCAGTTAACATCACAGAGCCTGCCAAGCTGGAAGTTAAGTTCTCCTGGTGTAAGTCTCCACTTTTCCCAGGACGATTCAGGGACAGGAAATACGCAAACTGAAGGCTAGCGCCCTGGCTTGGAGAATTCCTGAGATACCTGAGTGTCATCTATAATGAGTCAGCATATAATTATCTGTCAAACACTTACTACATGCCATGCACTGGGGTTGCCATGATGAGCCAGACAGAGCTGGCCTTGGTACTTACGGAGCTCACGTCCCAGTGCGGATACGGACACTAGCTAGCATTTCAATAGGTGAAACACAAATAGGTGCACACAGGACGGGGCTGTAGAAGACCCAATCCAGTCTTGTTTCTCAGAGGAAACTGGGGCCCGAAAAATTAGCAGATCTTAGCAGAACAACCTGCATGGTGCAGAAACTTGGAAGCAAGAGATGACGAGAGTGATGGTAAATTTGAATCCTGCTTCCGCCACCTTCCAGTCACATTGTTGGGGATCCTGGGAGATATCTAATGAAAGGCATTTGCCTCAGGGTTCTGAGCTAACTGAGGAAGGGACACAGGCAATAGAAAGGCACCAAATATCAGTTTTACTGCTGATGTAGCTACACTAGAGAGTTCAACCCAGAACCGTGAGGCTTTCTAACACGAACAGTGCTTGAGAGCCCCTTTCCCACCTGCAGGGCAGACACTGAAGTCATCAGCTACAAAAATTACTCCCCCCACTTCCCACTTCTCACCCCTGCCACTCCTCCACCCCCCACCAGTCAAGTTCCTAGAGGCGGGCGGAGAGGAAGTTCTTATTTTATAGGCCAAGAAAGGAAGCTGGGAGGAGAAAACAGTTCTTCTCACACATATGAATGTGGACAACTAACTTCACATGTACAAGCCAGAAATAACTGCTCAGTGTCGTGAAAGTAAACTAGATACACATGCTCTGTAAACTGTAAAGGGCTTTATACACAGTTTCTCTTGTTATTTTTATCAAGAAGGAAGCTAAAGTGCAGGCGGGCTGAGTGACGCAGGCCGTCACTGAACTCATTAGAAGAGTTGGGACCTAAACCTAGGTCTCCAAACTCTCCACTTATTCTTCCCACACGGATCAGGGATGGGGATTGGAGTGAAAGCTAACTATCACGTGCCTAACAGTCTTCATAAGGAAGCCTGGGACAGGAACTAAAAGAGGCAGGAGCTATTGGCTGGGAAAGGTGGAGGGAAAGATGTATTCTGGTTGGGAGGATTAGATGTAGGCCTTGTAGGATGTATGGGAGATTATGGGAAAGGATTTCCAAGTGAAGGGAACTGGAGCATAGAAGTGAAGGGAACTGGAACATAGAAGGACTGAATACAGGCATATCACGAAGTCAGAAGTCAGAAGTCAGAAGTTCGAGACCAGCCTGGCCAACATGGTGAAACCCCGTCTCTACTAAAGACATAAAAAATTACCTGGGCATGGTGGCGCCTGCCTGTAATCCCAGCTGCTCAGGATGCTGAGGCAGGAGAATCTCTTCAACCCTGGAGGTGGAGGTTGCAGTGAGCTGAGATCGTGCCATTGTACTCCAGCCTGGGTGATAAGAGCGAAACTCCATCTCAAAAGTGGTGGGCGGCGCTGTAGTGCAGCTACTCGAGGAGGCTGAGGCAGGAGAATGCGGATACCCGGGAGGCGGATCGGTTGGTAGTGGAACTGAGATCGCACTACACTGCCAGGCATGGGCGGCAGAGCCAAGACTCCGTCCTCAAAAAAAAAAAAAGAAAAAAAAAGAGTTCTGCCAGTCCAGGCCTGAGAACCACGCACAGAGGCAGCTGA